GAGGTGGAGGGGGAGGTGGAGGAGAGTCTGATATGGAACCACACAGTAAACTATCTGCAGTGGTGCAGCACTGACGGAGGAGACAGAGAAGGAGAGAGATGAAGGGCAGATAAAGAGGAGAAGTGGGGGGAGGTGGGGGGGATTGATGAGATTTTAAAGTGAAGGTCAACTTGTTATAACTCAGATCTCTACAGGGACAGTGGTCCCATCATGATGGTGGAGGTGGAGGAGCCTGAGAGATACTGCTGCTGCTACTGCTGCTGTTACTGCTGTTACTGTTGTTGCTGTTGCTGCTGTTACTGCTGCTGTTACTGTTGCTGCTGTTACTGCTGTTACTGTTACTGCTGCTGCTGCTACTGTTGCTGTTACTGCTGTTGCTGCTGTTGCTGCTGCTGTTGCTGCTGCTGCTGTTGCTGTTACTGCTGCTGCTGCTACTGCTGCTGTTACTGCTGTTGTTACTGCTTCTGTTGCTGCTGTTACTGCTGCTGTTATTGTTAATACTGTTACTGCTGTTACTGTTACTGCTGCTGCTGTTACTGATGCTGTTACTGCTGCTGCTGTTACCGCTGCTGTTACTGTTACTGCTGCTGCTGCTACTGCTGCTGTTACTGTTGCTGCTGTTACTGCTGCTGTTATTGTTAATACTGTTACTGCTGTTACTGTTACTGCTGTTATTAGAGGTCAGCGTCCTGTGTGTGTGTTTTCTCTGCAGAATCATAAAATGAAACTGATCTGGGTTCAGAATTTTCTCCTAGTGATTTTATTCCAATGTTATTGTTTTCAGTACAAAGAACATCATTATTCCACTGGTCCACTGTTCATACACCAAGTCCCACCACAGAGTACCAGCAGTGCTCAGGTACCAGTTCCTGATACTATTATTAGACCATGTTCAGACACACTGCAGAATGAAGTAGCACTCCAAAAAATACTTTAATTGTACTTCACTGGAGGTACAACCTGTGGCACATGTACCACAGTTTGAGAACCACCCACAGGCTCCAGAGCTCAGTTACTGCTCTGTTTTAACTGAAGGTTCATGGGTAAAAAAAAAAACGTGGAGATCATTTGTATGAAATATATGAAGTATTCTTTGACCTTAATGAAGTACTAGTACTGCAACTGGACCGTGTCAGTGGACAGTGTCTGCAACTTTGGTTCAACTCAGCCTGAACCTGATGGGAATCGAATGACCCTACAAACTGTACCAACGTACCACCAGGGCTACACAGCCCACTGATTGAGAACCACTGGTTCAACCTACAGTCACTATCTTGACTTGAGGTGTTTTATTTTGTAGGACAGACTTCCTTCCTCACAGGCCGACAGGAAGTCAGTGACGGAAAAATGCTTTTGTTGACACGGGAGGAAGGGTTAGACCAAAACGACCAATAAAACATCACCTGCTGGTCAGTGAGTGAAGAGCAGTTTATCATAAACCTAAATATTTATTTAGTCACTTGTTCTGCTGAGACAGGGTTTGGCCACAGGTGTCACTGTTCGTCCATACATTAAACAGTGAGCCTCATGTTGAATTAACCAGAACACAACACTAGACACAAGACTATACACAGAAGTATCTTATAACTGTCAGTACTTTAGGCTACACCTACGCTATGCAAAAAATACACACTTTCACAGTTGCTATCAAGTATTCCTGTGTTAATGATGAAGTACAACTCTACAGTAATTTAAGAAAAGAGTGGTTTCACTTCCTGCTGTGAGTACAGTAGTACCAAGAACCCAGAGTACCTTCACCTGGTTAGTGGTACTCATGTACCACAATCAAAAGTACCTGCAGTACCACCAACATACAAGAGAATAATAAGTGTTCAATAACCTGTTAATGTACGACTCTCTGGAACATTCCACCAAAACTGGAGAGAATGAGTCGCTCCAACCACAGAGCATGAACACAAATATAAATATATACAGTATATGTGTAGGCATCATACTATATATGTGGAAGAAATGTCAAGGATGAAGTGAAGGGGGGGGGGGGCAGAGAGAGAGAGGGAGTCAAGATCCAAAAAAAGATTTTCATCAAAGATTTTGAATTTTCTGCTGAAACGACAGACGTTGACGGGGCAGTTGTTGGGGCAGCAGCCCCCACCTCTTCAAACAGCTGTCAATGGTGATGGGGCAAAGTCAGCGTTGATGAAGGAGAAGCCCTGGAAGTCCTCCTGGTTGATGGCTGCCAGAACATCAGGGTCAGAGGGGGTGAGGGCTGGGGGAGCGGCTGTGAAGAACTTGTCAAAGTTTTCTCCTTTTCTTCCACCCTGACAGAAAAGAAGAAGAAAAAGAAGACAGCAGGTGTGGTCATGTGTGCACCCCCTCACACACACACACACACACTTCCATTCAGCCAGAAGTTATGGCCCTCATCCAGCCCATGGGCCTGACCTATGACTCCTGAGCACGCTCAGTTCAGTCTAACATTAACCTGCTGGAACACAGACTAAAATGCTTTTATAATTGTCTACACTATCTGTTGGGGATTGCAGGGAAAAGTACTGTATAATGATAATATAAATAAATTATATAATTTGGAAAAGTTTGGCGGATTTCCTTTTATCTCAAGAGGAAGAGGAGAAGGAAGTGGAAGAAGAGTTGGAGGAAGAGGAGGAGGAGGAGGAGGTGGAGGTACCAGACAGTTCACAGGAGAGATTAGAAAATGAGAGAAGAGTAAAAGTAAAGAGTGCAGTCCAGGACAGAGACACCGAGGGACATGGTCCAGTAGTTGGACTAACAGTTGTTGGCCTGAAGGGCGGCGGCAGCTCCAGTCTCTCCAGCCTCTCCCAGTCCATCCAGCGGAAGAACTGGTGCTCCTTGATGTCTCGCTCCGCCTCCTCGCCTCCACCCAGGCGCTTCGCAGGGTTCTTTGTCAGAAGCTGAAAGAAAAATGAAAACACAGCTACTGTTTGATGATGTACAGACCTACAGTACTTCAGTACTACAGTACTACAATACTACAGTGAAGTGTACCTAACAGTTTTTGTTTTTTTTTAATGTCTTTAGCTGGTATTTAAGTACAGTACTCTAATACTGTAGAAGGACAGTGAATACTCTCAGATGAAAACTGTGTACTGACAGAGACACGGACAGAGACACGGACAGAGACACGGACAGAGACAGAGACATGGGCAGAGACTCACTCCCTTGCAGATGGAAACAGCGTCTCTAGAGAGACTTTTAGGATATGAGACGCTCTGCTCCAGGATGGACTGGAACAGTTCCTCTTCATCCAGACCATCAAACGGTGGCTACAGGGAAGAGACACAGAAATCAGACCACACACAGATGTGTGTGTGTGTGTGTGTTGGAGGTCATTGTTTTTAGTCCTTGTTGGAGAATCAGTGTGATGACATCAAGTCTCCACCAGGGGGACAGTGTGTCACCTGTCCAGCCAGCATCTCATACAGCAGGACCCCATAAGACCACCAGTCCACGGCCTTGTTGTAGGGCTGATAGGCCACGATCTGAGAGACCACAGAAGACCAGGACGTCAGGGACAGACAGAGGACGGACCCTCACAGTCCAACACCTTCAACTAAAGAGTAAAGAGAGATGGGGGAGGGGCTTATACCTCAGGGGCGATGTAGTCGGGGGTACCACAGAAGGTACGTGTGGTGTCCCCCTCAAACATCCCCTCCCTGCACATGCCAAAGTCAGCTATCTTGATGTGTCCTTGTCCGTCCAGCAGGACGTTGTCCAGCTTCAGGTCCCTGAGAGACACCGAGGTTGATCGATCACATCTTTACTGGACTAGTTACCTACACAGGACCAGAACCACAGGTATGTGTGTGTGTGTGTGTCTCACCTGTAGATAATGCCCTGCCTGTGGAGGAAGAAAAGCCCCACTGCCACCTCTGCTGCATAGAACCTACAGGGGGGGGGGCAGGGGGGGGGGCAATCACTTTACCTTTTCAGTCTAATTCAAAAGGGCATGGATGACAAGAGAGGGAGCAACAAGTTGGAAGAGGAAGAGGAAGAGGGAGAGGAGCTGGACTGATGATGACAGATGAGCAGCCAGAGGAAACACAGGTGAAAAGATGGGATTAGAGGGAGGAGAGAGTTAAGGGGGAGATGGGGGAGACTGGATGAGCTGCTGTGAAACAGAGAACTTGAACAAAGGCAGAGAGAAGAGCTCATGTGAGGAACAAAGACTTGAAATGAGACTGTGTTCCTGAGATGAAAGGGACAGGAAATGAGTTCCCGCTCATTTGAGTGACACGTACGCTGCGTGAGGTTCTTTGAACTTCCCAACGATCTGGATGTGGAACATCAGGTCTCCTCCGTTCACATACTCCATCACATAATAAAGACGGTCCTGCAGCAATGACACACACACTCATCAAGTACACACTCCCCCACGTTATGAAAACAGCTCATTCTTACCAGTGTTGAAGAGAAACTTCAGCCAGGCGCGCGCACACACACGCACACACACACACACACACCTCAGTCTGGAAGGCACAGTACAGTGCTGTGAGGAAGTGGGGGCGGGAGGACAGGGCCAGGACCCTCCTCTCCACCAGAGCACTCTCAGTGTCTTCATCCTGGAAGAGAACGTCTTTCTTCAGGACCTTGACTGCAAACAGACGTTCGCTGCCGCGCTCCTCCGCCAGCAGCACCTGAGACAGAGAGGAGGAGCAACACAAGGAAGTATGAGCTGCTGCGTCGGCACGGCAACGAGACCCATCTGTAAACAACAACACAGTCACAGGCGACGCTGCCAAAAAAAAAACAGAGAGAAGAAGAAAAATTCAGACTTCAACTGACAGAGACTGTCACAACGTCAACTCCCTGAACGAGGAGGAGGAGGAGGAGGAGGAGGAGGTGATCATTTCCACATGGCTGACCAGATGTTGACATTATTTCAGACCAGACTGTGTCCGTGACCGTAGAGATTTAATCTGGTCACATTAGCGCCCCCTCCAGGTCACATGACCTCAGATTCAGCTGACCACGATACTGGATTGTGGAGATAAAGAATGTGAAGAATCCAACATGGCCGCCGCTGAGGCTGTGATGGTGAACAGTCAGTGAAGTGGCTCCTCCTCCCTCCCTCCCTGTCTTTGTCCTCAGCCTGCCTCACCCAGCTGCCCCAGCCCAGGGTCACCCCGTGTCTTGGTCTCCTGTCCTCAGTGGACCCCCCAAACCCCCTCCCTCTGACATTTGTCCAGATTAATAATCCTATCACGTGGATTAGTCACAGACTAAACCAGGTGAGAAACACTGACACCTCCCTGCTGACGTTGGTACTGTCTGTTCCAGTGAAGAACAGAAAGTTATATTCAGGAATCATCTGGTGAAATGATGATTCATTTTAATCACGATTAAGGTGAGGGGTGAGGTACGTACCTTGCCAAAGCTGCCCTTCCCCAGGACCATGAGGAAGTTGAAGTCATGGATTCCCACTTTGACTTTGCTGGGGCCTGTGGAGGAAACGGTTCCACAGGACAGGAGCGGACCTGGGGACAGGACTGGAGGAAAGGGTTCAGACGGGGGCGGGGGCTTGACTTGGGGCAGAGAAGGTGTTGTAGCCTCAGACTGGGGCTCCTGAGGGAGAAAGGCAGAAATGAAGGCTTCCATGAGGCACACTGGGGCAGAAGGGTTATTAGAGCATTCCTGAACCCTGGTGGACAAATGATGTAACAGTTAATGATGGTTGGACGTCTGCTGACTGTTAACAACTTCAGGGTTAGTTGGTTCAAATTATTAATACACATTTATTTAGGCTTGAATAGAACAACAACCATCCAGAGAAATGGAGGGTGGAGCAGGGTGGTGCAGGGTGGTGCAGAGTCATCAATTTTCTCTGATGTTGGTACAAGATGAGGAACTGAACACTAGGTGTCAGTGTTGGCAGGTTTTGTGTTAAATTGCGTTTTTTCTCATTAAAGATCACATTGATTTTTAACAGTCATTAGTGAAAGTGAACTGTAACACTGCACCACTGCACACAACCAAATGTGACCTCTGCATTTTACCCAAGTCCTCTTCCTTAACCGCCAAGCCACCACTGTCGCATTAGCATTAAGGATGGATGGCTAACAGCGCCACTGCTGGACTCTTGGTTCATCTTGAGGACCGGGTCTACCTGCAGGTCTGGGTCTGGTACTGGGATGTTGTAGTACTCTCCCTCGTCTTGAGCCAGGAGTTTAAACCAGCCACTGATTGGACGCCTGAAGATCTCACTCACTCCAAACGACAGAGCACCCATGAAATCGTTCCTGGACGTACGGTCCCAGTCCCAGACCTCCACAGAGAGTCTTCTGTCCCACTGATGACCCCGCACTGAGCTGGAGGACAGTAGAACAACCACAGATCAGCAGAGAGGTTCCAGTCCCAACTTGGACATTTGCTTTTTTCAAGTGTCAGCTGTTCCAGAGCGCAGCGGTTAGCACGCCTGCCTCGAAGGAGAGAGCAAGTTGCCCTGGGTTCGATTCCCAAAGGAACCACTAACTTGGTGCTTGTTGCAGCAGATCTGCTCTTCACACAATCATTTCCATCAATAAAGTTCAAAACAAACTGATCAGATTACAACATTTAACTATGTGTGAAAACAGTACAGTCCAACCCTCCCCCTCCCCCCTCCCCTTCAACCCCTCTCCTTGTAAATTTGAATCCCTGGGTCAAAGGTCAGTGTGACTCACAAAGTGAAAGTCTCGTTCCAGACAGGATTGAGGGTGGAGCGAATGGTCTTGGTCTTCTGTTTGCTGTGACTCTTTGGATCTGGAATCAGTTTTAGTTTGACATAGGGGTCGGACAGACCGTTTGGATCCATGGGCATCAGGTTCCGGGCCTCCCTGACTGTGGAGAACAGAGAGTCGTAGGAAGCAGAGAAAGAACAGAACCTTCTCCGCTTGACCGTGTCACTGCAGCGTGTTCCTCCACCTGTGACAAAGAGTTCCTCCGCCTCCCCTCGGACACTCAGGTGGACCCTGCCTCTCTTCTCCGTATGGTCCTGACCACAGAGACTGGGTACACTGGTCTCACAGCGTCGATGGACGTTCAGGTCACAACCTGCTCACATCAGAGAACTGGATTAAAGTCACTGGATTACAGTTGAATTACTGCAGTAACTGCATTCATTTATCATCCGCCTGAGAGTGTGAGGTGGAACTCACTGGAACATTTCATGCCCTGGTGGATGAGTCCGTAGAGCAGAGAACCACAGTGGTCACAGAAGGTGGGGCTGGAGTAGGTGTGGACCCTGAAGTTGTGTCGACTTTTCAGGTCCTGGAGTCGAACAGAAACTCTGACGTAGGAGCAGTGGACACACACACACACACACTGAACACACACTCAAACATCATGTAGAGAAGGCTTTTTGTGGACCAGTCAATTCCTGC